AAGGTGCAAAAAAATATCTCCTTTTTGGTATCTAGGTAATATAATAGAAGGATGCACAATTTGTCTTCAAAACTTACAAAGAGTCAAAGAATTACATACCTTTAATGATTTTCAAAAATTATTAGGTGATATTAATTGGCTGACACCATCTTTAAAACTAAGTACTGCCGATTTGAATCCTTCGCTTCAGATCTTATGGGGGGGGGGACCTTCTCTGACTTCTCCTCATCAGCTTACAACAGAAGGAAAAACGGCCTCAAAGAAGGTTGAATTTGCTATGAAAAATGCTCAACTTACTCAGAATTAGCCCATGGGAGCCCATAGATTTATTAATATTTTCCACTGCTCATGCTCCTACAGGAGCCATATGGCCATCGTTGGGAGTTATTGAATGGATCCACTTAGCTCATTCTCCTCAAAAGTCATTGACTCCTTTTCATGATTTTGTTGCTAAGTTGGTTATTTCAGGCAGGATGTGAGTTTTACAGCCGGTTGGATCAGAACCTAATGTTGTTATTATCCCTTATTCTACTCAACAGAATGATTGCCTTTCCAAACTTCTAATACTTGGCAAGTAGCTTTTGCTAATTTTCCTGGTCAGATACAAAGTCATTATCCTGGTGATAAAATTATTCAATTTGCCTTAGTAACTACATTTATTTTCCCAAAAATTGTGTGTGACCAACCAATAGTAGGGCCACTATCAGTGTTCACTGATGGGTCAAGCAAGTTCAGGTAAAGCAGGTTTTTTATAGCCATGTTCATACACAGGTTATACAAACACCATATACTTCTGCGCAATGAGCAGAACTTCAAGCTCTAATTTGTGCTTTAAGTCATTTTACAAATGGGCCAACTAATATTTATTCTGATAGTTTATATGCAGTTGGAGTTACAAAAACTATTGGAACTTCAACTATTGGGTACACACCATCACAAGAGTTATTTGATTTGTTTCATACCTTGCAGAAGACAGTTCAAATATATCCACATCCATGTTTTATAGGCCATATATGGGCCCACACTAATCTCCCAGGGCCTTTAATAATAATAAGATAATAATAAGATAACATCAGATAATAATAAGATTGATAAACTGGTTGCTATTTTTCAGAAAATGTCTTTGTATGACATGCACAAGCTTCACATTCTTTGCATCATCGAAATGCTTCTAGTTTGTGTAAAAAATTTAATATTACTAGAGGGCAAGTTTGTCAAATTGTACATCAAGGCCCACAATGGGTTATATATATTCCATCTTTACCATCTGTTGTAAATCCCTGTGGGTTACAACCAAATCAGATATAGCAAATGGGTGTAACTCACATTCCTCAATTTGGCAAACCATGTTATGTACATGTAATTGAAGATACTTATTCCAGATTCATCTTTGCCACAGCCCATGCAAAAGAAAATACGCGAAATATTATTTCTCATTGCCTAGCTGCCTTTGCAGTATTAGGATGTCCTTTACAGATTAAAACTGATAATTCACCAGATTATACTAGCTCTTCTTTTCAGCAGTTGTGCCAACAGTTTCATGTTGACCATAAAACAGGTATTCCTTAAAACCCTCAAGGTCAAGCCATTGTAGAACAAACTCATTTATCTATTAAGATGCAGTTACAAAAACACAAAGGGGGAAATAGGACCCCCCAAAAATGACCTTAGTCATTCCTTGTTTGTTTTAAATTGTCTAAACTGTGACTCAGAAGGTCACACTGCAGCTGAGTGACACACGTCTTCCACAGCAACAGGTCCTTTGGGCCAAGTTTGGTAGAAAGATTTACAAACAGGTCAATGGAGAGGATCAGATTCAGTAATAATATGGGGTAGAAGACATGCTTATATTTTCCTAGAAGGTGCATTTTGTCCTACTTGGGTACCTGAACGTGCCATCAGACATCGAGGACCTAAAGCCAAGGTTCAAATGACTGAGGATCAATCCAGAGATGTCAGCCCAGACTCCCAGCAAAAAGAGGAAGCTTCAAATGATGAGGGAAAAGAAGATGGCACAGAGAAACCCAACGGTGAAGCTACCCTCATGGAAGCTGTTGAAGGATCTGACACTGCAGACTGAGCTGATGATCCAGCAACAAGAAAGAACTAAGTCTCCAGCATTGATGCTGTAGCAATGCTAGCTCTGTTGTGCTGCCAGGTAACTGGGACACAGGGAGAAACTTACTGGACATATTTTCCAGACCCACCATTAGTACACCCAGCAGTGTGGATGGGAGAATCCATCCCAGTATTTACTAATGACTCATATATGATGGGAGGTTTTAGACCAAAGCCTATGGATTAAAGTTTAAGGAAATAAAAGGGCCAAGAAAGAAAATAGCTAATATTTAGCTCTTGCCCTCTGAGTCAGTTTGAACCCAGGGATCCAGGGGGCTTTTCTGAGGGCTTTGCAATTCTGGGCCATATAACCTCTCAATTAGGGGGAACAATGAGACCCTGAGGAACAGAAAGCTAACCAGTGCACATTCTGCAAAAAAAAAAAAAGAGGATCATTGAAGAAGGCAGACATCCCTGATGCTTCCGAGGGAAACCTCATTGTCACATAGACCCTGACCTATCCTGACAGATGGCACCAAAGGATAAGAGGCTGCTCTCAAGTTCCCAAGATTGACCCTGGCAGGAAACTCAGATGACTCTTGAACAGTAGATAGGAGTAAGGTCAATTTTAACTGCTTGGTCTTGAACACCTGGCAAAAAACAGTTGTAACCAAAGTACAGCCATTTCTGGGCATTTTTAAAAAAAAGACAATAGCTCTTTTAATAGAACTTAAGACATGCATTTGTATCAGCCCCACAGCCCTGGAGTCCCCCAAATTCTGAGGCATTTTTCCTTCGTGAGGCTCATAGTTACCCTGCCTACCAAAAATTGTACTGGCCTCTGTACCTTGGTCTCTCTTGCTCCTTGAAGTGATGTTTTACCTAACAACCAAAGTTTGCCTATGCCAATAACAGCACACACCAGAAACAAGAGAGCCCTTTGGTTTATTCCTTTACTCCTAGGTCTAGAGATATCTGCTGGGATTGGCACGGGAACAGTGAGATTAGGAATGTCTATTTGTTGCTATAAAAAAAAAATGTCACCTAATGGAAGAAAAAGTAGGCCCAAATCTCCATCATGTCAGATTAGGCCCCAACTTCCTTAATAAGACTACTAGAGCACAAGAATTAAAACAAAGAATCAATAAATGACATGGATTCAAACTAAAAAGCTTCTTCTCAGCAAAAGAAACAATCAGTGAGGTAAATAGAGAGCCTACAGAATGGGAGCAAATCTTTATTACAGGCACATCAGACAAAGCACTAATCTCTAGGAGATTTTATATATATATATCTCAAAAATCTTAACACCAAAAAAAAAATAACACAATCAATAAATAGACCAAGGAACTGAACGGACACTTCTCAGAAGAGGATACTAATCAATCAACAAACATATGAAAAAAATGTTCAACATCTCTAGCAAATACAGAAATGCAAATCAAAATTACCCTAAGATTTCATCTCACTCCAGTCATAATGGCAGCTATTATGCATACAAACAACAATAAGTTTTGGTGAGGATGTGGGAAAAAGGCACACTCATACATTGCTGGTGGGACTACAAATTGGAGCAGCCAATCTGGAAAGCAGTATGGAGATTCCTTGGAAAACTGGGAATGGAACCACCATTTGGAGCAGCTATCCCACTCCTCAGTTTATACACAAAGGACTTAAAAATAGCATACTACAGGGACACAGGCATATCGATGTTTATAGTAGCACAATTCACAATAGCTAAATTATGGAACCAAACTAGATGCCCTTCAGTAGATGAATGGATAGGGAAACTTTGGTATATATATACAATGGAACATTACTCAGCATTAAAGAAGAATAAAATCATGGCATTTGCAGGTAAATGGATGGAGTTGGAGAATATAATGCTAAGTGAAGCAAGCCAATCCCAAAAAAACAAAGGATGAATGTTTTCTTTGATATGATGATGCTGACTCCTAATGGGGAAGAGGGGGAAGCATGGGAAGAATGGAGGAACTTTAGGTAGGGCAAAGGGGAGGGAGGGAAAAGGAGGAGGCAAGGGGGTAAGAATGATGGTGGACTAAGTTAGACATCATTACCCTAAGTACATGTATGAAGACAGGAATGTTGTGAAAATACTTTATGTACATTCAGTGACTTCAAAAATTGTGCCCTATATGTGTAATATGAAATGAATTGCATTCTGCCATCCTATGTGACAAATTAGAACTTTTAAAATTTAATAATAAAAAAAAGGAAAAAATTTTTCAGTGCAGATTATTGAAGATATCCAACAGGTCACCAATTCAGTATTGACTTTACAAAATCAGTTAGATTCCCTGGCATCTGACATCCTGCAGAACCATCGAGGCCTAGATCTCTTCACTGTTGACAGAGGTGGCCTTTTACTCTTCCTCGGGGGAAAAATGTTGCTTCTGTGTCAATCAGTCGGGACTGGTAAGTGATAGGGTTAAACAACCACAGCACTGATTGGAACAGCAGAGATGAGAACTATCCAGTTCCCAAAACTTCCTGGCTGCTCTCTTTCAACCTCATTTTTCTTGTAATAACTCTCTTATTAATTTTATAATAACTGTTTTATTAATTTTATGCAGAAGTAACTTCTTGACAAGGTGACCTGTCTAGCCCAGACCACCTTCCGAGAACGTGCAAAAGCCATTCTCCTCCTTCACTCATAACCCTGAACTCTCCTGAGAAAGGAATCACCCGTCACAGTGTCTGTTTCTCAGGCTTCGGTTTTGGTCAGTGCTTGGTGGGTCTCTAAAGGACTGAGCCGGCAGAACGGAACTAACAGCGAAATTCTCAGAAGTCACGTGGTTAAAACAAAACTCAAACAGACGGCCCAGGAGAATTCTGGAGTAAACAAAAACAATCAGGCCAGGAGGCCTTAACCTTTCAGAAGCTGGAAATGTACGTGAAATTGAACTTGGGTTGTTTTTATGAACTGCTCTGTTAGGAGAAAACTTCCTGGGCAGTCACAGCCACAAAGTCAAACAGAAAACTAGGGACTTTCCAAAAAAGGCAGTGGTGTTAGTGCAGCCAGACAGCAGTGTCTTCATTTCGCTTTCGCATTTACCCCGATGGGAAAGGGTCCTCTGTCTCCACACTTCCTCTTGGCCATTCCTCGCCGGAACGCTCTGCTGTGTTGAACTTGGTATTTCACAGTTCATGAGTTGCTACTTACTTAGGTGAACTTTTTAAAGATTTGGTCTTATTTTGAACTGATATCTTTATCAATTCCTATTTTGCAAGCGCACCAAAGGCCAGGCAGATCAGCAGGCGCCTGACACACAGCCAACACCTCAGGATGGCTATGGTAAGTGCCTCTTGAATTTTAAGGGGAAATCCACACCGGGTCCACTGCCCATTGGAAGGGCTCGGTCCCGGTTACTGCTGTCAGAAAGACTGAGCACCAGCCTCAATTTTGAAAGCTTGTGCACGCATTCTAATTGTACAAAACTGACGGACACCATGGCACACGCCTGTAATCCCAGCAGCTCGGGAGGCTGAGACAGGAGGGTCGTGGGTTTAAAGCCAGCCTCAGCAAAAGTGAGGTACTAAGCAACTCAATGAGACCTTGTCTCTAAATAAAATGTAAAATAGGGCTGTGGCTATTGTGGCTCAGTTGTGGAATGCCCCTGAGTTCAATCCCCAGTATACCCCTAAAAAAAAAAAAAAAAAAAAAAAAAAAAAAAAAAAACACCTGCTCTTACAAAACTCAGTTTTCTGTGGGAGACAGTGAGTTCTTGGCAGAGTATGTGTCTCCCTCTGTGTCCACAGGGCTTGGTTACAGGTTTGGGCTGGGGGGGGGGAGTATGAGAGTGTCCTGTGAATGGACCTGGGTCCTTATTCTAGAAGGTGTGTCTACATGTGGGCCCCTGATGTCCCTGTTACTTCAGTCTCTCCACCTGCACAGCTCCCACGTCCTCTCCCATCTACTGGAGCTCTCCTCCCCACCCCCAGCCTCTTCTCCACATTGTCCACCTGCCCCCCTCACGGGAGCTTTCCCGCCAGCAGAGAGGTGCGCTGTGCTTCTCCATCCCAAAAAGCCAGCGAACCACATTCTCTATCCCCTCTGTCATTTACCACCCTTTTTTTCTAAATCCTCTTTGAAGAAGAAAATAAACGTTCAAAAGAACTGTCTACCCAGTTCTCTCCTCTCCTATTTCATCTTGAACCTGATTGTTGGGCAGAAGGTGAGGCTCAGGCCAGGAAGCAGGTCTGGGGCTCTGGCAGTTGAATGAGGATCCAAGGCATGCTGGGAATGGTGGTCATCCAGCTCCCTGACCATTTCCATAGGCCCTTTATATATTGTACACAGTCCAGAGAACATGCACTGCCGACAGGTTCCATTAGGGGGCGCCTGCTCACAAGTTAATGTTTATGACCTTGACTGCGCACTGACCTAACAGCCCATTCCTGACCTTGGCTACCTACTGAAAGCAAAACATAGGCCCTGGAAGCCCTGGCCAGGGAGCCTCACACTAGCCTTTGGGGACCAAATCAGACTTCCTCACTTCTTCCCCAACACCTGCTCTGCTCCAGGTCCCAGTCAACCCCTCTCTTGAGGACCTCATGTGGCTTGCCCACCCACCCTGGCCCCTGCTCTCTGCTCCATCTTTTCTGGCCCTCCTCTCCAGTCCCTGGGCTCCACTGGGTCCTCTCCTTTTTTCTCTCTACTCACTGCCTCGTCCCTCCCATCCAGTGTGGGGACTTGAACAATCTTCCTGTGACAGTGATATCCCAATGCACGGCTCCAGCTGAATCCTCCCCACACTCCAATCGGACTCAACTCCTCTGCCCAGAATCCCCCTGTGCAGATCTGATCTCCAGGGTTCACTTCCCAAACCTTCTCTACTCAGTTTCCCTCAGACCAGTCAAAGGCAATGTCATGCCCTGGGTTGCTGGGGGCAAGGCTTGAAATCTTGACACCTCCCTATCTCTCTCTCTCTCTCTCTCTCTCTCTCTCTCTCTCTC